CTCCTCGCGCGCGCGCGCGGCGAGGTGGCGCGTGGACGGCCCCGCGCGGGGCTGGACGGCGCGCCACGTGCCGCCCGCCATTCGCCCCGGAAGCCGCGGGCCTCGGCCCGGCCTTTTGCGGGGTGAAGCGTTCAGGTCCAAAGGCTTCGCGCGAGGCCTGCGGCCCGGCGTCAGTGGGAGGGGGGCTCCGTGGGCGCTAAGGGAAGACCTGGACAGGACAGGGGTCCCGCGAGTGCTAAATAGTCGTCAGGAAGTTGGTCCTGGCCTCGTTGTATGCCCTTCCCATATTCCGCATTGGAAACGGGGGAATCTCGGGAGGGATATGCCATCTGGTCACACAAGCAGTCGGTGGCAGTCACGACCAGAGAACTCTCCTGAAGGCGACCGAGACCGGTGCCTTCGGGCTCCATCGACCTGGAAGCTTTGAGTTTCTTTGCAAAGCGTCTTGAGGAAGGTTGCTCTCATGAAACAGAATATGTAATAAGTAGGAAAAAACCTGGAGAAACAAGCCTAAATGTCTAGCACATGATGTATTGGCAGTGAACAAAAAGGATTTTTATAGTGCCGATGGGGATTAACCGCCCCTGAGTTATATACAACCTTATGCAAAACTGGAAGCCTTTTGATTATACAAAGGGTTAATTCCTTTTACCTTTGAGCCATTTCCTCTTCAGGACCTCTTCACTCCAGCTACTCTTGAATGGAGAACAAGAACCCAAATTGAGATGTAGGTGCAGGAGCCCTTCACAAACCACTTGGCAGTGGCTAGCCCCACCAGCCTTGTAACCTGAGCATCAGACTTCTGTGTCAGCAAAACTACAGATTGCTCCCTACGTCATGTTTGGGGATTGGTCCCGAGTAGCTGGAACCACAAATGTTAAATCTGAGGGAAAACGCATGTCTTCCCTAAATTGTGAGAATGGCTATTCATCTCTAAATCTGTAGGGTTTTTTTTTTTTTGTTTTTTTTTTTTCTTTTCTGAATCCTTTTATCCCATTCCCTCACCCCCACCCCCAATTCTACCATGGTAAAGTTCACAGACCTACAACAGGGTATAATGTGCATAGGAACATGGAGTGGGTGTGGTTAAGAATGTCACACATATGAAATTGGGGTAAAACATATATGTTCTGGTTGAAGAGCAAACAGATGAAGTAAAGTTTTTGAAACCTCCTTATGACAGTTTTTGGCATTCATTTTTATGCCAACGGTTACACAGCAGATACGTAAAAAGGAAAGGACTACACTTCTCCCTAAGCAGGAGATATAGGTGGGGGCAGGTTGGGGATACTACTACGTATGTGTTCTCAATGAGTATCAACTAGAAAACTTGAGAATGAAGGAAAGGACAACTTTTTTTCATATTTGTTCCCTCTGTAAATTTCAAGAGATTTATATCAGATGAAATTTGGAGGTGGGAGGAGTATGAAGGAATAGCGTAATTAAAATGCACAAGTAATTAAAAATATACTCTTATTAGAACATCTTTATTTTCCAAGTATCTTACCAGTCATTGATATTTCTTTCTTAAAATTTAAGAACTGGGGAGCCTCATCTATTGCTGTGTTCCAAGGTTCTATAAAGATTTCCCTTGCCTTTGGCTTCAGCTCATAAAACTTTATGAGCTTAAGATATAGACAAGATGACTACAAATTTGTCTCCCTTGGCTCATTCTAAAACTTACAGGGCTAGATACTATTAGAAAATAAGAGGTAAAAAGAGCCATCATTTTGCATCTGCATGTCAACTTTATGTAAAAAGAAAAATTGAACATCATTTTTAAATGTTATGACATTGAAAATAGTTTAAGGGGCAGTTATAAATTGATCAAGAGACATTGGAGCCAGAGTGTTGAGAGTACTAAGGAAGGAAGGAGAAAATGAAAGAGGGAAGAGGAGAGATGTTCCTGCCATTGCTAGCCACATGACCTTGGCCAACTCAACTTTAAAACCTGTTCTTTGTTAGTAATGTGTAGACAAAAATGCCTTCCCTACTGATAGCACAGGGAGTTTACAAGGGTAAGATGATATAACAGTACTACATAGATGATGCTTACATTTATACCTCTAACTTGAGGTTTTGACAGACTTTGAAAGCATTGGCAGTAACCGTCTTCCAGTAATTTGCCAAAATGACTAACACAGAGAGAAAGTGGAGAGGCACCCACTATCCGTTCTCCAGGCCTTTTAGAGAACATGGAGTTGTTCCTTTGGTCACATGCATGGGAATCTACAAGGAAGGTGATGTAGTCATCAAGGGAATGGGCGCTATTCATAAAGGAATGCCCTATAAAGGTTACCATGGCAACATTGAAGAAGTCTACCATGTCACCCAGTATGCAGTGGGCATTGTTGTGAATAATGGCAAGATCCTTGCCAGGAGAATTAATGTACGTATTGAGCATATTAAGCACTCTAAGAGCCCTTCCTGAAACATGTGAAGGGAAATGATTAGAAAAAGGAAACCAAAGAGAACGGTTCCTGGATTCAACTAAAGCGTCAGACTGCTCCACCCAGAGAAGCACACTTTGTGAGAACCAGTGGAAAGGAGCCTGAGCTGCTGGAATCCATTCCCTATGTATTCACGGCATGATAAGTGTAAAACAATCAGAAAACCTCTGTATTGAGTCAAACAACATTGGAGACAGCTTTAAACATATTTAGCGCAGGTATACTTATGTATCTAACTCCTAATTCTAACTAGTTGAAAATATTTTTAAGCCAAAACCAGTTTGGCTCAGTGGATAGAGTGTCAGCCTGCAGACTGAAGGGTCCCAGGTTCGATTCTGGTCAAGGGCATGTACCTTGGTTGCGGCACATCGCCAGTGGGGGGTGTGCAGGAGGCGGCTAATCGATGTCTTTCTCATTGATGTTTCTAACTCTATCCCTCAACCTTCCTCTCTGTAAAAAATCAATAAAATATATTTTAAAATAAATAAATAAAGAGTGGTTGGCTCTTTAAAAAAAAAAAGGAAAGTATTTTTAAATTTCTTTAACCTTTGGGTAGAGGGCTCACTGTTTCTTTAATCACATACTATATACACATTTTTAATCAAGTGGTGGAAGGAGAAGTCACATCATTTATCTCAGAAGAGGGCATCATTCCCAATGAATAAAGAGGGAATGCTTCTGATAAAGAGGGACCCTCTAAGGTTTCAAATAGGAAGATTCGTAGTCATGGGGATGTAAAACACTGCATAGGGAATATAGGCATAATATCGAAATAACTAGGCATGGTAGCAGGAGGCTATTGGAAATATCAGGGGAACACTTTGTAAAGTATATGATTAACCACTATGCTGTAAACCTTGAATGAATACAAAATAATATTGAATGTAATTGAAAACATTAAAAGAAAATAGCGCTCTGCTGGGTGGCTGAGTTGGAATGTTGTCCTGTGCACTGAAAGGTTTGATTCCCAGTAAGGGCACACACCCACTCAGGGTGTGCAGAGAAGGCAACTGATCAATGTTTCACTCTCATCTCTCTCTCCCTTCCTTTCTCTTAAAATCAATACAAACGTATTAAAAACAAACAGAAACCTTCTTAGCCAAAAGCATAATACCTAGAATTTGATTGATGATACTTTCTATAATCATTACCTAAATTGAATCTCTAATTGGAGGAACTCCAGACAACCTGGCAAAAACAGAGGACCTGTATAGTAGGCCATGCATTTACCTATCAGACAAGTTTGGTGAGCATATAGAATTATACAGACACAGGTTTATAACAACATTAGGTGCTGTATTGGGCACTTTCCATAGATTATCTTCAAATCTTCCATCAAGCTGTAGCATCGGTATCATTACTATCTTCCTTTTACAGATAAGGAAACTAAATCAGAGAAGTTTGGTAACTTTCTCCATCACAGGACTACCAAGAATTCCAACTGAGATTCAAACTTCTCTTTCTCCTAAGCTCATATCATCATGCTGCCTCAAGAGACCAGTTTTCTCATTAGAGAATAGCCTGCAATGGGCAAGACAAATCGAGAACTAAAATTTCCACATACAAGAATTAATAATGATGCTGAAACCAGTTTGGCTCAATGGCTAGAGCATCAGCTTGGGGACTGACGGGTCCCGGGTTCGATTCCGGTGAAGGGCATGTACCTTGGTTGTGGGCACATCTCCAGTAGGGGTGTACAAAAGGCAGCTGATTGATGACTCTCTCTCATCGATGTTTCTAACTATCTCTCTCCCTTCCTCTCTGTACAAAATTAATAAAAATATATTTTAAAAAAGAATGAGGAAAATGCAAGTCACTTTAGAATAATCTCCCAAAGAACTATTTAATAACACATACACCCATCTTTAATATCTGTACTCATATGTTGTATTTAATAGAAAGGAATTTTATCCATTTCATAATAGGCTCCATTTAATACATTTCGAATGTTATAATGTTATAACACTAGTGGCAAATTTAATGGCTTTCAGTGATTCCTAGGTGTGGTTAGAGCACAAAAAGACTGGATTCCTCACTCTCAGAAACTTATCCAGGTCCAAAATCTAAGAAGAGTTGTTGGCACTCCTTTTTCCAAGGATTGGCAGGGATAGACGCAGAAATGGAGAATTGAAAGCAATACTCAGGAATCTCACATGAGCCCTAGCTGGTTTGGCTCAGGGGATAGTGTGTCGGCCTGTAGACTGAAGGGTCCCAGGTTTGGTTCCAGCCAAGAGCACATGCTGGGTTGTGGGCTCAATCCCCAATAGGGGGTGTGCAGGAGGCAGCCAATCAATTCTCTCATCATTGATGTTTCTCTCTCTCTCTCTCTCTCTCTCTCTCTCTCTCTCTCTCTCTCTCTCTCTCTCTCTCTCTCTCTCTCTCTCTCTCTCTCTCTCTCTCTCTCTCTCTCTCTCTCTCTCTCTCTCTCTCTCTCTCTCTTTCTCTCTCTCTCTCTCTCCCTTCTCTCTGAAATCAAATAAAAATCAATAAGAATATATTTTTTTAAAAAGGAATCTTACAATTTCAGTATTTTGCAGGATCCACACTGAATCTTTTTATTTAGTTGAGACATATTTCACATATAACCCTCACTGAAGTGCAAAACCTTATTGTTCAAAGGAATCTTCAAAATCATCTAGTTCAATCATCCTGTTAAATTGAGTACTGGAAATATCTACGCAATGTTATCAGTCAAGGGATCATCAAACCTCTATAAGAATGCCCTAAAAATGGGAAATTCATTCATTTACAAAGCTGCCTATTTCATCTACAGATAGTTTTGACTAATAGACGTTCTTCATATTGAGCTGAATCTTTCTCCCAATTTTCATTCACTGTTGCAAATTCCAAGCTACAAGAATCCCTAAAACAATGCCTCCTCACAATGTTTTTCTACCAAGATTACCCTTCTTGATACTTAGTTCAGGGTTTCAAATGTCATTGTGACCACAGCTAACCTTGGGTAGGTTGGTGAGGGCCTATTGAAAACCAATAGTCAGAACCGAGTGGCCCACCCACTGCACAACCAAGTAGCATATGATTTCCACTCCTCTCCACAGTGCTGAGCTTCATCTGGCCTTCCCTGCGCCCAGGTCAGTGAAGTTGGAAAGAGACACTCTCTCATTATTTTGTTAACCTTGAGATCTAAGGCCTTGACAACCTTTAGAAACCTCCTCAAGGAAACATCCTCAAGCATAAGTCAGCATTAGCATCTTCATAAAACCTGTCTTGACTGCTCCATATTCCCCAAACTGAAGAGAACTGACCATCCCACTGCGTGGTCTGGAAAGGCCTTCCAGAAAAAATTCTGGCAAAGTTATGTAGGTCTTATGAGTGGAAATGGATCAAATGGTTTCTCTTCTCTAAATCTCTAATTCAGAATTCAGAACCTCCCTTTTACTCATAAGCCATTGGCAACCATTCTGCTTCCCTTCTATCTCCACACCATCTGAGCACATCCTGACTTGTCACTGCCATGCTATAGAGACAGCCTCCAATGTGGGGAGGAGACAGGTGCTTATTGCCACAGGTATTTTGGACATTGCCAATCAGTCACAATGTGAAGCTATTTGTTCATATTCAAGCTGGTCACAGTGAAGGTCCTGGGCAGTAGGAATTCCTGCTGCAAAGTACCTAGCTCTTTGGGTAAATCCTTTCAGATAACAATAAGACTTTAGGTGTAAACAAGGTATTTTTGAAACCCTGAAACACTACATTCTGGATTTTTGTGATGCAATCAGGTGAGATCCACTTAACATAAAAACTCAATATTAGGTGTGGATAGAGAAATGCAAACTGGGTAGTGAGTTAGCACCCTCTGTATTTGAGAAACTAATGAAAAATCAATGTGATTACATTTAGAAGAGGACAAAGGAGTCCATTTTTTTTATTATTACAAACTATGTATGTCAAATAAATTCGTAGTAAAATAAGCTTTAAAAAAGCTTTAGAATGTCAAAAAAGAAAAAAAGCCAGCAACTAGAGCAAAATGTGTAATGAGGTTAGTAACATTTACTCTCGGCTTTAGAGAATTCGTATGTACTCAGTTGATTAAAACATTCTATATGATGCTGGGCATTTTTACAAAAAGTGTTCAAAAGAAAAATAAGAATTAAACATTGATGACTGGAGTTAGCTGTAGCAAGGGATTGGATGTGAGTGTTTGACTGCTTTTTGTGCCTTCAAAGTTCTGCAGAAAATTCTGTCTTCTTTTCAGACCATCCAGAATGACTGAATTATTAGATGCCAGACTCTGTGTCCTAAAAATATTAAAAATAGAATTATTACCTTCAAAATGGGTTGACTTTCGAATCAAAGCATGATAGTGTCATTTGTTTCTTTGGTGTAACATTTATCAAATAAGTTAACTACTTTAAAATCTAAAGTACTCTTTACATTTTAGATGCTTCACAAAAGCACCTCAATTATTTGACAGCTGCTTTCTGAGAAGTTCATAGTTTCTGAATATCATCTGTTCTCAAATCCAATATCAAGTATATTCTGTTCAGAAATAAGTATCTGAAAAACTATTCTATACAACTAAAGTAGCCAATATCATCTTCTGTAATTTATTTTTTTGGAAGTCATAGGGAAGGGAAGAGCTAATTACAACAGTTTTCATATTGACAATGTTCCCTTCCTTGCAGCTGTAAGCTATGTTAGTTTCTTATCTAACACATCTGCCTTGCTTCAGCCACATTACTGTTTAGGCATTTGGCTTCCGCCAGTCCCCGTTTCCCACCTCCCCTCCTCTTCATTACATGTCCATTACGTTAACATATGTCTCAAAAATTTGTCCTCCAATAAGCCTCCCATATAGCATATCAATTTTTAAATATATATTTTTATTTCTTTCAGAGAGGAAGGGAGAGAAAGAAAGAAAGAAACATAAAAAATGAGAGAGAATCATCGATCATCTGCCTCCTGCGTGGCCCACACCAGGGATGGAGCCTGTAGCCTAGGCATACGCCCCGACCGGGAATCGAACTGTGATCTCCTGGTTCATAAGCCGATGCTCAACCACTGAGCTATACTTGCCAGGCCATTGCATTAATTCCATACCCCTTTGGCAGTTATGAAGAGTTTATGCTTTGTTCTTGAATTCAATCTGTTTATTGTTTGTTAGTCTCAACAAATTAAATTGTAAGCTTCCTATAGGTAGCATCAGTATCTTGTTTATCTTTGTCCCCCAATCCTTATAACAATATGGCACATAGTTGATGTTCAAATGCTATCTTCCCTCCCTTTTTCTCGTCATGTCTTTAAGAATTATAAGTGGGTTTGTTTGGGTTTTTTTTAATTATAAGCAATTTTTACAAAATTAAATTTCTGCCCAGCCACTGGGATCCTCAGTGATTGAGCATCGACCCACGAACCAGAAGGTCACGGTTCAATTCCCATTCGGGGCACATGCCTGGGTTGTAGGCTTAGTCCCCTGTAAGGGGCGTGCAGGAGGCAGCCAAAAGATTCTCTCTCATTGATGTTTCTCTCTCTCTCTCCCTCTCCCTTCCTCTCTAAAATCAATAAAAATAAAAAGTTCTGCTTTCACCTTTTCTAATAAAATGTTTACTGTAATGTTTGAGTCTGTGTATTGTTTCTAAATCTTCCATAGAACCCATCAACACTCCAGATTTAATTATCTCCTAGACGTTATTAAACTCTTTTTAATGGCTTCAAAACATAAACGACATATTCTATTATTTTAGAGATTGCATTGTAACTTTATTTTTTTCCCCCAGTAAAATAAAGGCTGGCCGAAGAATATCATTATAAAAAGATTAGTAGAGGGTTGCCCACTAGGTAACTCAATATATCCTTAATTTTAATAAATCCTGTGAGATAGTTGCTCATCAATTTTATATGCACTTACCGTGGAGAATCTATTCCACTATCTCCTGCCATGCTCTGATTTTCCGTTCCTTCCAAGTGTCTGTGTTCATGCTGGATATCCTGAGCCATCACTGGCATATGTGTAGTGTTGAGAAGTTCTAACTTTTGTGTGAACTGTTTTCTCATTTCCTGATTCTGAGCACTCTGAGACCAGCAAGCTGCTTTCTTTCCTGTGTCAACGCAGTCTTGTGGGGTTTCGGCCTCCGCACTGGCTTTCCTTGAGCTGTAGTAATCAAATATGCTTCTCTCAGCAGATGTGGAGGCCTGCACACATTCAGCCACGCTGGGATCCTCTTCATAGTTACTTCCGGATGGGGTCCCTGAATTGAGGCCACAGCTTTCAGCAGAGAGATTAGGTTTCTGGCTTACACCTGGGTTAGTGAGCAGCGCAGGCTTGCAGCATTCACTTCCTTTCAGCGCTGGAGGCTCAAACCTCTGCATTTTGCTGTGGTACTCAGTCAGAGATCGCTCGGTTACCTTTTGTTTTCCTAAAGGACTCCATTGGCTTTTCCCAGAAAAGGAATACTCAATGTGGCCGGGCAGCATTTGACACAAATCATCATTCTCGGAAAAGTCATCCTCATCTAAATATAATGAACTGCAGGCGCCGTCCTCATCTTCTCCTTTATTTTGATACAAGGCTTGGGCATCGTCAGAAAGCACCTCATTTTCTAGACTCACGGTCTCTGCTTCCTGCACAAATGCCTTTCTTCTCCGTGTTTCCTCTGAGTCTCTGTCTTGCCGCTCAGGTTGACGCAAGTGGTCCACACCAAGCGGGTAATCCAAAAGACAAAGATTTTGGAATTGGTGTGTTGTGTTATCAACTAATCTACGAGCAAAAGATGCCTGGTCTAAAGAGGAGGGACCCGGTGACGGAAGGACATTCCGTGTGTCAGTTGTCTCCCCTAACATGTTAGAGAGAGAATATCTTTCCCTCAAGTCTTCAGGGGTTACTTTGTTTTCTCTACCATACACGTCACAGGTCAACCTGCTTTCCCTAAAGGAACAGCGTCGACTATCCTTTTGCAAAACACTACATTGCGAGTAATGTAAGAGGTGATCTCTAAAATCGTCACTGACAGGCTTGACAGTAGAGTTACTCATATGAGTGGGTTCTGCCCTCAGTTTATCATTGCCTTGTTCAGGACGTGGCTGTTTGGCCTCCCCGTCAGGGATTCGTGAGGAATCTAAAGACCTTGACCTTTGGAAAGGCTTGCCCTTTGGTCTACTCTGGCTGGATTTCAAGTCACTGGTCTTCTGGTGGCTGCGCCCTTTGGTGATTGGGCTCCTCCGGTGAGACAAACCCTGGAAAGGATTATTGATTCGCTTTTTGTAAATCAGATGAGACCCTCGCTCCGATGGGGTCTCACCAAGTGGTTTCTGAACTACGGCTTCATGTGGGCTTTTCCTTCTGGGGGTGGGCTGTGTGGCAGGGAGTTTGGGGTGTTTCTCCGGTCCAGTGCTTCCTGGTGGAGGCTCACTTCCCTGACTCCTGGCCTTGTGTCTGTCCCTGTGAGAATGGCCCCGCCTTCCAGGCTTTGCAGACCGGCCCTGCCTTTTCTTAGCTCCCTCTCTTGAAAGATATTTATGCCCGACTGTCAGCATATCAGTGGAAGTGCCCTGGCTATTGTATTTTTTCTGTTCTTCGTATTTTTGCATCAGGATGGTATGTTTGATTAAGTTGTCCACCGTCAGGACGGGATTGATGCGTTTGATGATCTCATGTTCAACGTCTCGGGGGATATTGTCCAAGTTATCTTCATCTCGGACAGGCCATTCCTCCGGCGGGAACTGGGCGGAGAAACTGCTGTGCCCTCTTCTGGACTTCTCCTTTCTGGACATACTGCGCCAGAAGAGGCTAAAGCCAAACTTCTTGCCTTTGTCTCTGCCTCTTGTGTATGGTAAAGGCTTGGTGCTCTCAGGGACAGGATTCTCCTCAGACGCTGAAACTGCTCGGTTCTGTACCAAAGGTCTGGATTCCCCAAGACCTTTCTGGCCTTTTCTAGTCAGTTCTGCAGCGGCTGGTGGTTCCTGCGGGTCCTGAGTGCACCCATCAGGGAAACACTGGCAAGACGGACAGTGGGAGACGGGGGCAGTGTTTTCTCTGGCCAGCTCTGCCAACTCCGCACAGCTCTCCACGCTCACCAGGTACGTGAGGAAAGCAGGTATCTCGCGGCTTTCGTCTGATCGGGCTCTCTTATGTTCTTGGGGGTTTGTGTTTGTGATGAAGTAAGTCTGAGGAGTAACGATGAAGTATCCTTCCCCGGTGTGATAGATCTTCCTTTCTTTAATCAGAGTGCCCAGAGCAGTATAGAGTATATCTTGAGATGGGATTGCAATGCCTAAAACAAAAGCAGTTTACGCTGGTAAATTCTGTATAAGAAACATTCTAATGAGTGAAGTCAGTCACACAGAAAAGACCATTCAGTGGCTTGATGAGCCTAGAGCTAACGATAACACAATTAATATATGTAATTAAAATGCCAAAGAAACATTAACAGTCATCATCATTTAACTGAGTAGCAGGAATATGATTTGGTCCACACAAAGACATATGGCTAGGCTAATAGTTAAGTAGAGGAAAATAATCTGAGTTCACTAAACTGCAAACACTAAGTTATACAATCCCATTACAAATTTAAACTTTGCCTAAGGAAAGTATTCTTAAGAACAAACATAGGAGTTTTTGAAAACAGTCTCATTGCTTACATCTTAAGAAGCTAAAGAGAAAATGAAATCCAGTTTGTGCTTAGGTGAGGGCAAACTACCTAAAATCTGGATTATGGTGGTTTTTCAAACTGGGAAGGTGATACTTTTAAAAGAAATTTCCCTTTCAAAATAGCAGGGTTTAAAATTATATTGTGAAAACAACGTTTAAAATGTGTGTAAGCGTAACACTGGAAGGCACTTCCCAAAAGCAGTCCGGGTGATCGCTATTCACTTAAAAACCCCACAAAGCCATGCAAATCAAGAGGTTCCAACCTCCATGTTCACTTTAAGAACACTTGTGAAGCCAAAACCGCTTCAGTGGATAGAGCGTCGGTCTGCGGACTGAAAGGTCCCGGGTTCGATTCTGGTCAAGGGCATGTACCTTGGTTGTGGGCACATCCCCAGTAGGGGGTGTGCAAGAGGCAGCTGATCGATGTTTCTCTCTCATCGATGTTTCTAACTCTCTATCCCTCTCTCTTTCTCTCTGTAAATACTCAATAAAATATATATTTTAAAAAACCATTCTCATCTTTATTAAAAAAAAAAAAACTACTTGTGAAACTGCCCAGGTCATCAAGGGTATGCATATCCAAAAAGCCAGTAAGTATCTTTAGGATGTAATTTCAAAAAATGTATGTTTTAAAAAATATGTTTCAGCCAAAGCCAGTTTGGCTCAGTGGACAGAGCATCAGCCTGCGGACTAAAAGGTCCCAGGTTTGATTAAGGTCAAGAGCATGTATCTTGGTTGTGGGCACATTTCCAGTAGGGAGTGTGCAAGAGGCAGCTAATTGATGTTTCTAACTCTCTGTCCCTCTCCCTGCCTCTCTGTGAAAAATCAATAAAATATATTTTTTAAAAATATATGTTTCAGCCGAAGCCGGTTTGGCTCAGTGGTAGAGCGTCGGTCTGCGGACTGAAAGGTCCCAGGTTCGATTCCGGTCAAGGGCATGTACATGGGTTGCAGGCACATCCCCGGTGGGGGGTGTGCAGGAGGCAGCTGGTCGATGCTTCTCTCTCATCGACGTTTCTAGCTCTCTATCTCTCTTCCTTCCTCCTCTCTGTGAAATATCAATAAAATATATTTAAATATATATATATATATATATACATATATATACACACACATATATATATATATGTATATATATATATATATATATATATATATATGTTTCAGAGAGAGGAAGGGAGAGGGAGAGAGAGATAGAAATATCAAGGATGAGAATCATTGATCAGCCATCCCTGCATCCCCCACACTGGGGATCGAGCCCACAATATGGTCATGTGCCCTGACCTGGAATCAAACCCATGACCTCTAGGTTCATGGGTTGACACTCAACCTCTGAGCCACACCAGCCGGGCAGAATGTCACTTTTAATGTGTGCCATTCTACAATGGTGGAGGGCCAAGCCAAACAGTGTGGCTGAATACATGGTCCATGGCCTAATTAAGTGATGCTGGACTTAAGGATGTAGATGTAGACGCTCGGGTCATTGAACACATCCGGGTGAACAAAGTTCCAAGATGCAGAGTAGAACTTTACAAAGCTCATGGGGGGATTCACCCACTCCTAAGCTCTCCCTGCCCCCTGGCGGTGATCCTTCTGAGGAGGAGCAGATTGTTCCTAAACCAGAAGAGAGATTTGCACAGAAGAAAAAGATACCCTGGAAGAAACCGAAGAAACAAAAACTTATGGCCCAGGATTAAATTCAGCATAAAACAAATACTAACACATAGAAAAATGTAACACTGGAAGAAAATACATTAATATGATATGTTAACCTTGGTTTCTTTTGGGTGGCCACACTATAAGTGGTTACTTTTCTATATTAACCACATTTTTCTACAATATGCATGTTCATTTTAGAATGAAAAAAATAAAAAATACTCTTGTACATGTACACTCTGGGATATGAAAAAAATGATCAATATATGTCGATACAGAAAGATCTCCAAAATATGTTTGCAAGTTTTTTAAAAAGTGCAGAAAGAATGTATAGAATGATCCAATTTATGTTATTAAAAAAATACATATACTCAAATCTAACTTATGAAAGTATACATAAGAAACTATAGACAATAGAAATGATCACCTCTGGGAAGTGGCGACGGAAGAATAGAAGGTGTGGTGGGGGAGAAGATGAACTTTTCCTTTGCAGAGTCTGACTTATTTATTGCCGTAAGTATTGTTTTAAAAAGTTAATTAGAACGTAAAAGAAATATCCTTATCAAATTTGCTGATGTAGGCCTTTTCCTGGCAAGGCTCTAATGTAAGGTTCTATAATAGAAAAAAACTTGGATATCATGCAGCTCATTTGTGTTTAAGATTATTTGTAAAGAGAACCATCAAACACATGCAAAGAACTAACAGAGGAAAACTTGTTACCCTACCTGGGTAATGTTTCATCAAATGCTCCAACAGTGATTCCTGTGTTACTACAATCTCAGCAGCATTCATGTCAGATATAGCGCAGCAAAGAACTTCAGCCAAAGGTACAAACTGTGCTTGGGCTATTGGATTCATTTGCACTGGAAAGACATCACCTAAATTAGAGATTAAAAAAAAAAAAAGGAAAGGTGATAAATTTGATAGACTGTAAACTATTTGAAATTAGTGAATCAAGCACATTTATGAAGATTGACTAGCAGATGGAATTGCTATTCTTTCATCAGTCCTTACTCGGAATCTGTTAACACGTCATGCACAAGAATAGAAACTGTAGAAGTAAAGGGTTTATTTACATGGTAGTCCCTACTTTTAACAAGTTTGTAGTATTTTTCAGCCCAAGAAAGAGTAAGAGTATGAAAGTCACAAAGTACTATCATCGTTTAGGTCAGACAATGCTTATATGACAATCGTATTTCAAAGCATTTTTCATATTTTAAAATGTGAAAAGCCAGAGAAAGCTCAAGTAATTGTCCCAAGGCCTAAAAGCAAGTACAGTAGCAGGAAGAGGTCTTCTGACGCCTAATTCAGTATTTCCATCATTCCACACTTTCCCGATTGGAATGACTAAGAAGATTTGAACTCTTTGCTGTATCTACGGTGAGGATGAAGGCCATTTTCAGCAACAAGACTGGTGACATCGCGAAAGATGTAGACATCACTCTGAAGGGACACACAGTTACTATGAAGGGCCCCAGGGGCGCCCTTCAGGGGGACTGGAATCACATCAGTATAGAGCTCAGTCTCCTTAGAAAAAACACAAGAGACTCGGGGTTGACAAATGGTGAACTGGCCGCCACTTGCACAATCGGCAGTCATGATCAGGGGTGTGACACTGGGTCTCCGCTATAAGGTGGGGTCTGTGTACGCTCACCTTTGCCGTCTGGGGCTCTCTTGTGCAGAGCAGGGTGTTTTAATAGTGCCCTTGGCCCCCACCCACTGTCTCTCTCACATTTGCAGCAGCCAAAAATGTCTCCCTTGCCAAATGTCTGCGGGATAAAAGGCATAGGTAGAAGAACTAGCTTAGAAATTATGAAGATTTTACTTCATCTGAGGCTTGAGGAACCAACGGAGGGTAGTAGAAACTCAGAAATATGCTGAGGCAGAGAAAGAATAATATTAGCATGGCAAGTTATCCGATTTCTGTAATGTCAGAGAGAGAAAGGGTAGGAATGAAAATGACAAGATAAAAGGTAGAAAGGGGGGTCTGAGGAACTATTTTGGAGAATATTAGGAAATTAAAAAACAAATATGAAGATTTGAAGGAGCCCCGAGTCTCCAGGTGATGATAGTGCGGTTTATGGCAGATGAAGCGGCAGGAAAGGAAGACAGAGGCCAGCAGTGCTTTGAAAACCTGCATGTGCAGCTGGCAATCATCAGGGGACTGTGCTGATGTGCAGGTTGATTTGGAAGGTCTGGAGAGGAACCTGTGGTTCTGCATTTCCAACAACCTTTCAGGTGATGCCCACTCTGGAGCGGCAGGGGCTGGGGTGTTTACGACAGCCATGTTAAAGTTGCTAACCATTCAACAAATACACACGACCTGTATGGGAGTCAAGTGTCGCCAGAAGAAAGCCTAAGAACTGAGGAACTGAGCCAGACATTTCCTGCAGTGAGTTTAGAAGTTGCAACACTGCAGGGGTTGTTGAGGGGGAAGGTGGTGAGGACTGGCGTGGTGGGAAGGGTTGCAGCCAAAGCTGGTGAGAGACCCATCTATAATCTATAATAATAAAAGCTTAATATGCTAATTAGACCTGACATTCTTCCAGGTGACCTTCCAGACAAAGCCGGGGCTGCGAAGGAAGCCTGGGTCCCCAGTGCCTGCCAGCGGCCAGAGGGAGGGAAGCTGGTGCCAGCAGCTGGGGAAGGCAGGCCTACTCTAGCACGAATTTCGAATTTCGTAATTTCATACATCAGGCCTCTAGTAATAAGATAAAGGACTCCCTTAGGGAAACTGATAAGCTGTGTGCAGTTATCCCTCGCATTGGTCTGTTTTCTGCTTTACTTGCGCTTCTCTAGCTGGCAGATTGGGCCTCGGGTCCCAGCACAGGCTAGAAGTGCAGTTGGGCAGCCTAGGGAAGGCCCCCTCTAACAGTGTTGGGGGCTATCCCACTGGATTCTGAGAAGCTAGAATTAATGGCTAATCAATTCATTAGCATTTCAAAGGGCAGTAATGAGAGATGGTGCTCTCTGAGCCAAGGGCAATAAACCTCTCTCCTTAACTTCACTTCCTCTGCCTTTCTTTTTTCCCTCCAGGTCAGAGATCTACTCTCTTCTCTTTCACATCCCGCTTCAACCAGACCAAAAACAAAATTAAAGTATCATTTCAAATATTTGTATGCTTTCACATAACTATGTGCTATTTTAAATAAGTGACTTTAAACTTTGATATATCTCTCTACCTCATTTCCCAAAATGCTGTGACTTTTTTTTTTTCTTGTATGTGATCTTAAATTGATTATCTGCTTCCACTCCATGTGGACCAGAAGTCCTTAATTAAAAAAGGAGGGGGTGTCAACGTAAGGCCTGTTTGGCTCAGTGGATAGAGTGTTGGCCTGCGGACTGAAGGGTCTGGGTTTGATTCCAGCCAAGGACACATGCTCAAGTTGCGGACTCAATCCCCAGTAGGGGGCATGCAGGATGCAGCCAATCAATGGTTCCCTCTCATCATTGATGTTTTGATCTCTTTCTCCCTCTCCCTTTCTCTCTGAAATCAATAAAAATACATGTGGTTTTTTTTTAAAGAAACATTCAAACCTGTGAAGTTTTTTTTGTTTTGTTTTGTTTTTTAAGAATTTTTGAGCCCTAACTGGTTTGTTTGGCTCAGTGGATAGAGCATCAGCCTGAGGACTGAAAAGTCCCAAGTTCGATTCTGATCAAGGGCATTTAACTTGGTTGCGGGCATATCTCCTGTAGGAGGTGTGCAGGAGGTAGCTGATTGATGTTTCTCTCCTAACGATGTTTCTAACTCTCTATCCCTTCCCTTCCTCTCTGGAAAAAAAAAATTTTTTTTTCAATAAAATATATTTTTAAAAAGAATTGTTTAGAGTTTGAGCCAAACTGTCAACAATTGTAGGGAAGCAAAATCTCAACCAATTGAGACAGTACTCCAGAGAATGGCAGTTTGTGGCTCCTTTTATACATTAAAAAGAGATGATACAAGAGGGTTACATGAAATCCACTGGAGGGAGAAAGCAAACAGGGAGGGAGTAAAAAGTAAATTGATAGACACATGTATCTTTTAAATAGGTGGGTACAGTATAGTTAACAGTCAAAATTAGCATGATAAAACAATGAGAGTATGTTTTGCGTTGGTTGTGCCCTGAGGGACCTGGACAAGAAGGAGTTACCCTGACTGCTTTTAGTTAAAAAGCTTTAATTTCAGCCCAGCTGTGTGACTCAGTGGCTGAGCATCAACCTATCAACTAGAAGATCATGGTTCGATTCCCCCTTCCCTTCCTAATTAGGGCACATGCCCCAGGTGTGGGTTGTAGGCTCGATCCCCAATAGGGGGCATGCAGGAGGCAGCCCACTGATGATTCTCATCATTGATGTTTCTTTTTGTTGCTGTTAATCCTCACGATGAGATTATTTTTTCCATTGATTTCTAGAGAGAGTAAGGGGAGGGGAAAGAGATGGAAGAAAGGGGAGTGAGGGGAAGAGAGAGACACATCGATTGGTTACCTCCCACATTTGTCCCTATCAGGGCAGGGAAATCTGCTACTGAGGCATGGTCAGTACCCTGACCGGGAATTGAACGGTGATGTATTCATAATTCCTACTGGTTTGGGGAATGTGTGTTTTATTTTTAAAATGTTATGTATTTTTAATTTATTTTTAATTATAGTTGACATTCAGTATTAGTGACAGGTGTACAGCATAGGAATTCAACATTTCCATACATTAGGAAGTGATCACTGCAAGAGGAAACACGTCTACTACCAACTAGAAAGACACTTATCTTTTTTTCCTTAAAATTAACACAGCCATAAATCAGCTGCATTTTAGAGAACATGCTAAATCGCATGTAACCTCTGCTTCGGAGCTCCTTTCCAGACAAATCTTAGCAGTTTCTCAGTACATTTCCTTCACCGTCGTTGCTAAGATACGTCTGCAGGTGCAAAAATCAAGAGTTTCTTATACAGGAAAGCAGAGTGACATGGGAACACCAGTGATGGACGCAGGAATCATTTTCAAGATACAGCCACAGTTTGCTCCGGCTACGTGGGCATTTCTTGAGTTTTTGAGATACAATAACTAAAATGCAAAAAATAACTTTCTGTGTAGAAGATCCCACTTACAGACTTCACAGTAAAAGAAGGCCAGCCCTGTGGCTTGACCCTCCGCTGCTACTGAAGAGCATCCTTATCTCCAGCGGCTGCTGACCTCTGACCCTGGAGAAGGAGCTTGGATCAGAGGGCTCGGAGAGGCTGCGGGGCAAAGAAAACAGTTCACAACAATGCTCTGTGTTTACACAGCCTGCCGGGGTGCCAGGAGAATGGGAAAGTGTTCAGGCTGAAAGACTGGTTTCACAAAAACTACCAACAAAGCAGGGCCACGCAGATTTGTGCCTGCTACAGTGAATGCCACTTTCTGTGCCAAGAACATTTTAAACTTGCTGATGTCTTGCTGCTCTTCCCAGGGAGAATTAACCAACTTTAACCATATAGGGGGTATATAAACTTTTTTTTTACATTTGTGATAAAGCAAGTTATGAGTTTTTTGTTTTCTTTTTTTATTACGGTATTATATGCGTACATATCTTTCCATTGCCTCCCCCATGCCCATATATGCCCTCCACCCCCCCAAGTTATGAGTTTTAAAACAATTACTTTTTATAAGTCTACTTTTGGGGGGGAAATAGCGGAAGGCAAATTAAACGTATGCAGCACATAGGTGCCCAGTCAGCAAATATCGAATTCAACTATCAAAAACTGATGACATCCAGTATGTGCCTGGCTTGGAATCCAACCAGCCACCTTCTAGCGTAGGGAACAGCATTCCAACCAACTGAGCCATAAATATAAGTTCATGTTACATTGTAAAGCACCTAAACAAATTCTAAAAGGGCCTCCTCGTGGAAACAAAATCCTGACAT